TTCACTTATTCACTGCATTGAGTAAATACTTGAACCAGCCAATGGGAAACAGATACATAGACTTCCTGTCACTGCACTTGCCACGACATTTAAATATCCAATAGTGCCGACACAGCAGCACGACCACTGTCCCCTGGAGCTGCAGATATTAGCTCCGATCAGAATAGCAGTGTGGATGTCATCTCTGCGGGTTCAGCTGTTCCTCTGTCTCTATAGCACACACTTTATCCACGCGTTCAGCCAAATTATGTTTCTAAATCAGGCCACTGTCTGCGGAGCCACTGTCTGATCTCCTGCTCGTAGGGCAGGGATGAGATGCATCAAATCGGTAACTCAAATAGTCTAAAACAAAAGGAGTCCTGTCTCTACAATTAACAAACTCACACATGCCATGCTGCTTTTGAACAAGTTGACAAGGAAAATTTGTGGAAGACAAATCTGCAAACCGGTCCACAACCACCACCGGCTCCAGGTTTTAGTTACGTCTCCATCCATACCTCTTTTGAATGCGCTCTTAAACAGTTGCTACTTTTGTGCTTCATATTTTTTATTTGTCTTGCTTGTTTCTACCTGAGATGTTGCCGCAGTACAGTGTTCATAGTTTTGCACTGTTTCAGACCAGAGCCGAGAGGATTCAAAGTGTGAAACAAGTAGAATGGAAAAAATCCACTGGAGAAATGCTAACTTTTTGAAAAAAAGTAAACAAAGCATTCAGAATTTTACTTTGGACCAGAGCAGAGAAAAAGGGTCCAAACCAAGCAGCTACTCTATCTCTGCTGCTGGGAGCTAAAGTTCTGTTGCACTTTAATACTATTGGTAGCTATTTTTAGATAGATCTATCTATTTGTTTTGTTTGTATGATGCATGAATTCCTGCTGCCACTGGAGACCTGAATTTCTCCTAAGGGGATCAATGAAGTATCTATCTACTCTACAGGTTAAGACTGGACTCACTTGACGAAATGGGTAGAGTCTGGTGTGCTCCTGCTTGGTTGGACTATATTTTTTGCTTAGCCAGGAAAGTCCCATTGAGATTAAGAACCTCTTGTTCAAGGGAGTCCTGGACAAAAAAACTGTAGACACACTGAATCTTTGAGGACCGGTTGGACACCCTGCACTAAAACCAGGTATTTACAGGATAAGAACACACTGATTTTGACCAAAACCTGGGTTGCCTCTAAAACACTAAAAAACATTAAACTAAAATTGACACAGAGCTGGAGTGTCAAAACAACTCAGTATTTAACCTGCCTTGCGATCTAGTCTTTTTGCCGACCAAATAGAGAAAGAATATATACAACATTAAAAACAAACTGTTTTATAGCAGTGTGTGGTGAAGTTGAGTGAAGAAGGCTATAAAGCAGCACAAAAATCACACGTGAAAAGTGATGCTCTTACTATCACGAGCTGCTCTTTCCTTTATGAAGTAAAAAAATATGTTTGAAAATGTAAATATTATTATATATACACATGGATAATAAACTTGCCACAGTCCATTATAATGTGACTCCTTCTGGTCCTGCGTGCACTGTGCTGTGAGTTTAGAGGACTGAAGTCGGAGGTTTGTTTTGACCGTTTTATTTTGACACGTTCCCCTCTTGCCTGTGGTGATTTTTTTATTTAATTAATTAATTAATTATCATTTTTATTATTACAAATACTTTTTTTCCAGAACGTTGACCTCTGTGCAGATTGTTCCAGTCTCCGTCAAAAGGAGACATAAATCCACATTAATATGAAGCGCTCACTTAGCCCCGCAGTCCCTCAGAGGAAATGAAGCTTCGTTTATAATGCAAAAGTCAACAACGGAACCATTACATTTAATTATCCATGTGTTTACAGCCAATTAGGAGCTAAGAATAGAAGAGAGACAAGAGGTACAAGAACAACTGAAATATGCATGACCCGAAGAACTGCGGCTTAACTTAACTTATTATGTTATCAGCAGAGGCGGAGATAGCATATTGTCACGGGGGGCCCAAATATTAAAAACACAAATATTATGGCAGGGCTAAAGGATCTGATGAAAAATGTTGCCCCCATTTTGACCAATGTCTATTTCGGTATAGATTTTGTAGATTACTTAAATTAAAGCCAGAGTAAGAAAGTTGTGTTTGATTCATAAACATTTGTTGAAACAGAAAAAGTCTTGTTTAAGTAACGTGAAAAAAATCAGTCAACATGTTGTCTTCATATTTTGAGATTTTTTTTTAATCCTTTGGATATTTGTAAGAAAGAGTTCCTCTCTTTTTCACTTTTCTGTCAAAAAATCTGCTCTAAAGATGTATAAGTATGTGAACTAGTGATAGAACCAAACCTTTTTTTCCATCAAAATGAGAGAAACTCCTCTCCCCTGGTTCATGATTGGTGTCTGTTATTTCAGGAGTCAAAAAATGCGTTCTCGACTACCAAACAAGATACAAGACTCTATATGATACATTAAGTGAGTGAATTTTGGCCTTTGAACATAAATTGATTTACTTTTACATTTCATAATGACCCACTAGCTCAATGAAGCCCAATAGTGAAATGCTCATGGACGAAGATTTGTTCCAACACTCTTAAGCTCCTATTGACTTATATTGAAGAGTAAGTAAATGGGACGTACTTCGATCTCTCTCCGTGTAAATCCAGTTATGAGCCACATAAGGATTGATTGGTCAAACCTGGCTCTTGTCTGGAGATGCCTCTATATGTGGGGGAAACTCCAGTTTTCCTCCACAAACTATCTTAACAACCAAAGGAAATAGACTCCAGCTATCTTATGTTCCACTCGGCTTCTTCCGCATTCAGCTAACACTACGTTGACGTCAGCTCTCGGTCATTCCACTCCTAATTTACGTTCGATGCATAAAATTCATAGAGCTTTAGCAAAACATATTACAGATATTACATTCTGCTTTAACAATAATTAAGTTTTAACATGACTCTAGCTAATTTTGTAGATATATTTATTGCCCAGAGTGAGATACCTAAACATTATAGACTGTATTATCGTGTCCATAATCTTCTGTAATAACTAGAGCAGAGAACAGCTGCTCGTGTGGACTCAGCAGCTCACCCTGAAACAAAGGACTCCACAGATGAAAACATTAAATGATCAAGATTCAATTATCCACTTTGACATAAACGATTGAAGTCTCTAGACATCAGAGCAAATCGGTCTCAACCGTTTTATTTTTGTCATAGGTTACTAAAACATACACAAAAAGTGGCCAATGCCAACGTTGCATGATATAGGTGCGTGTGACAGTTTTGAATAATTATCATTTTGACTAATTCTGGTGGAACGACACACGGTTTAAACCTTTAATGTTCACTCCTTGAAGAAAGAAACTTAATTCTTTCTATTTTGTTTTGTCTTAGATGTAGGAGCACTAATAACACAATGTTTTGATGTTGTTGTTTTTTTATTATTTTTATTATAGGCCTTTACCAAATGGTTGAGATGCAGTTTGATGGTAAAAGTCCCAAAACCAAGTGAGATGCCCCAAAGATTGTAGATGTCAGTTCCAAGCTTGACTTAAAAAGTGATCTACAAAATGGTTGAGGAAACCATTTTGTAGATCACTTTTTAAGTCAATGTATAGACCTATATCACAACTTTGTAAAGGCAATTCCACTAAAACAGATCAGAGATTCAAGTCCTCGTCCTGTGTATTGAATAATAACAAACATAGATCCATAGGCCTAACCTTTAAATGACCTGGATCATCACTGTCCTCAGACCTTCCTGAAAAACTCAAAAACCCAGTGGGAAAAAAGTGGGAAACTTCAAGCTGTACACATAAAGTCACAGCGCAGAAAGAAAAATGGGAATGTATGCTGAAAAGTACAGGACGTAGATAACTGTGGGATAAACATACAGACATGAACAGACTTAACATAAAGTTTGGCACAATTTATTTGTTTTAGTTATTTTCTGTTGAAGTAAAGTTTGTATGGTCGAGTCTGTTCTTTGCCTGTGGCTGTTTTGGCTGTTTATTCCTTTCCCGGTGTGATGGCATCCTTCACAACCAGGAAATGTGAACCATATTTTGTGAAAAGTAAAGTTTAACTCTGACCTGTTATCTGTAAAATGTGAAATCAATAAATGGACTGAAACTATCACTTATAAAACGAAACTTTAGACAAATTTAACAAGCACTTTTTGTTTAATTAAAATTGTAATATTTTTGATCAGTGAGTCTAACTAGTCCAGTGACTTTTACTTATTTTAAAACAGAAACTGAGAACTGAATCAAACCAACAAATATTTAGTTAAATAATATCAAAATGAATTCCACTTTTTACAACAATTAACATTTGTGTAATCTATGTATGTTTGGATAATATCTCAAAACAAAAACTCACATTATGTTTAGACATTTTACAGGGGAGAGTTTTTGTTTTATAAGTGGGCTGTCACATTTTTACCTTTACAATTTAAAACCTATCCACATGACTGAGAGCACCATCTTTAATACTATAGACAAAGTAAAGTATGGACAGACTGAAAATAGAAGGAAAACCCTTATTCTTAAAGCCAAAGATTTAAATTATAAAATTGATGTAACTATAGTCGTAGCACTTATAACATGTATATTTGGCCTCTGCCACATATTTAGATCAGGGTTTTCAGAAAGAAAAGTGAAAAACAGAGTGTCTCACAAGGGCTCGTTTCTTAATGCAAAAGATCACAAGTTTTTAATTAAGATGAAGACAGCATGTGGTCTGATTCATTAACAACATTGTACTTTATGTTGATAAAAAAGTGTTCTTTGTGGAAAGAATTAAAGTTAGGTACCCCAGCTTTAAAGACCAACCAGCCTGCTCCATTCAGAAATATAACAAGAGATATTTCCATTCACACACGTTGGATCAAAAATATAGATATATTTAAAAGACACTAAAAAGCAGAACATATTCAATACATTCTGTGCAAAACTGGAAATTTTTGCAATGGAGACTAAAGTTATGATAAGACTAATTTGAATAAAAATAAAATAGGTGTATTTTTACCTTCTGCTCCCTGCTCCTCTGCGTCCTGCACCAGCGTGGACACACTCTGAACGCATCACTCTCTCCACTGTGCAATGCCCCGCCTTCCCTCTCCCCCAGGCGCGTCCCTCACTCCCCTTCACGTCCCGCCTCCCCTCTCCCTTCCAGCGCCCAGACGCTTCCTCTTGGATCAGCGCACAGACGCACACTGTAGCCTGTAACCATGAGCCCACATCTGCTCTGCTCATGTTAAACACAAGGAGACCTCCACTGAGCGCGTGCGGGAGAGGAGTCTCCACTGAGCGCGTGCGGGGAGTCTCCACTGAGCGCGTGCGGGAGAGGAGAGCGGTTTACAATGGACTCGGGTCACGGCACGACCATAAACAGTTACTTAGAAGGCACATGTTAAAGCTGGGGTACCTAATTTTTACCCCTTTACAAAGAACACCACCAGAAAGTGTCTTCAGCCCACAACATGCTGTGTTTCTCTAAATAAAAAATCATCATATGTGCGAGCGTGTGTGTGTGTGTGTCATATTTCTGTGTTTTGTTGGAGAGGATTGTAGTGTTTTAATTTTTTTATTGTATTATGTAGTATGTGTTTGAATGGCGCGGAGAGGATTGGATTAAAGTAAGATTTTGTCTTCGACCAATTCCTTTTCAAACCATGCACAGGTTTTCTTGTTTACTCTTATTATATTTTGTTTCAGTGAATAATTATATTTATGATATGACTTGGATCGTACGCGCGCTCTGATTGGCTGATTTACGGTTTGATATTTTCCCATCTTGGACCGTTACCATGACAATTGGTAAAAAAGAAATAATGAGCGACGACTGGGAGCATTCTCCAGTGAATTCTATTATCCAGACGAGTTAGAAGAGCCAGAGGAAGTAATAACAGCAAATAACGACAAAAACACAACTCCTAACAGTCAAGAAGAGATTGACAACTTTGTTACAGACCAGAAAGCTAAAAACACGATTAGGAAAACCAAGTCGGACATGAACTTACTTCACAAATATCTAAAAAGCATTGGTAAAGACACAGGAGAGATTGAGAACGTATCCAGCAGACGACCTCAACTATCTGATCAGCAATTTCTTCATGTCACGATTTGACAGTTTGGTTGCGTGTGTTTTTGCTAGATGAAACAGATCGATATTTGCATAGATTAAAAATAGTCATATAATAAAGCATTCATTAACCTCGCCACGGCTCGGTCTGTACAAAAAGACTACGGTCGCGCTTGTTTAATAAGCCGTTAATCTATTATCTCGGGCATGTGTGTGTTATCAAAACTTTAAGTGAAAAAACTGAGAGCAACCTCTATAGTTACATAGATTTTACTACCGGTACATATTTCCATTTAAACCAAGCATTTTGTGGCTTGAAATGTTAGGTACCCCAGCTTTAAGAATAAGTAGGAACGGATCTCTTCTGGTTTGTCACGTGTTTTTCCCCACTGTATTTTTGTTGTTGTTGTTTCTTGCTGATGCAGGAGGGTCTCAGGACATTCGTGATGATCCAGGACACTCCACATTTATAAATATCTATTAACATGTACAGACATTGGTCATCCACCCTTTAAGGACCTATGTTTTTTTTTTTATCGTTGCATTTCATGTGTTTGAACAGTTTAATTGTCTGATCTGTGTTGATGTAATCAGAATCAGAATAATTTTTATTGCCACGTAAGTAACAGGAGGTCACAGATTTGGAAATTGCTTTGGCTCAGTGCAACAGTCAGAGAGAGAGAATAAGATAAAATAAAAAGAATAAAAACCACTTCTAAAGAATACGTTTAAAATAAATATAGAGTTACAATTACTATATACAATATACAGTGCACGTGGTGCACACAATGTAAGGTGACAGCAGTACAGTGAGGTGAAGTGACGTGTGATGGGCAGTAAAGTGACTTTATAAAGAGCAGTAAAGTGACATAAAGAGCAGTGGGGGACTTCTAGAGGGCGGGGGGACAGGTTAAGAAGTGTTCAAGAGTCCAACAGCAGAGGGGAAGAAACTGTTCTTGTGGCGGGAGGTTCTAGTCCTGATGGACCGCAGCCTCCTGCCTGAGGGGAGTGGTTGGAATAGTCCATGTGCAGGGTGAGAGGGGTCGGCTGTGATACGACCAGCCCGGCCTCGAGCTCGGGCGACGTACAGGTCCTGCAGCGATGGAAGGCTGCGGCCGATCACTTCCTCTGCAGAGCGCACAATGCGCTGTAGTCTCTGTTTGTCCCTGACTGTGGCTCCAGCGAACCACACGGGGACGGAGGAGGTGAGGATGGACTCGATGATGGCCGTGTAGAACTGCACCAACATCTGTGCAGGCAGCTTGGCTTTCCTGAGCTGCCGCAGGAAGTACATCCTCTGCTGGGCCTTCTTGATGAGGGAGCTGATGGTCGGCTCCCACTTGAGGTCCTGGGTGATGGTGGTGCCCAGGAAACGATAGGACTCCACAGAAGTGATGGGGGAGTCCATCACGGAGGGTGGGGGCGGGGGGACAGTGCTCTTCCTGAAGTCCACAATCATCTCCACTGTCTTCTGGGCGTTCAGCTCCAGGTTGTTACCACTGCACCAGGACACCAGCCGGTCCACCTCCCTCCTGTAGGCGGACTCATCGTTGTTGGAGATGAGTCCAATGAGGGTGGTGTCGTCCGCGAACTTTTATCAGCTTCACGGAGTCGTGGCTGGAGGTGCAGTGGTTGGTGTACAGGGAGAAGAGCAGGGGAGAAAGAACACAGCCCTGTGGGGCTCCTGTATTTATAATCCGAGAGTCCCAGACATTCTTCCCCAGACGCACTCGCTGCTTCCTGACTGTCAGGAAGTCAGTGATCCACCTGCAGGTGGAATCGGGCACGTTGAGCTGGGAGAGCTCGTCCTGGAGCAGGGATGGCAGGATTGTGTTGAAGGCAGAGCTGAAGTCCACGAACAGGACCCTGGTGTAGGTCCCCGGGGAGTCCAGATGCTGTAGGATGTGGTGGAGGGCCAGGTTAATGGCGTCGTCTACAGATCTGTTGGCTCTGTAGGCGAACTGCAGGGGGTCCAGGAGGTGAGGGACTTGAGATTGGAGAGGACCAGACGCTCAAATGAATTCATGACGACAGACGTAAGTGCCACAGGTCTGTAGTCATTGAGTCCTGTGATCCTGGGCTTCTTCGGGACGGGGACAATGATGGAGGATAACAACTCTTCAGAGATAACTAATGTTGTGATTTAGAGCTATACAAAACTACATTGAATTGCAAATGACTTTGAATTTGAATGCCTCATCGTGTAAACGAGCCATTCTAAACTTCATCAGCACTGAGGCTGATGAATTTTTATCATAGAATTGGATTTTTTTGTGGTTTGAAATTAGGATCTCAGCTTTAAACGTACTCACGTAAAGCACATAATATGCAAAACTTCTTATCTTTTTTCTCTTATCCCTAAACCGTTGTTTTAGCCGCACACACACAAATATCAGGAATATCAAGCATAGCAATACTTTGTTATAATATGCATCATTCTGCTAATGCCATATATTAAATCTGCGATAACTACTACTTTAACTTAGGCGACCCCCACTCCCAAAAATAACAATTGTAAACCGCTTTGAGACTCTGATGTGCAGTGAAAAGGCGGTATATATAAATAAAGATTACTTACTTACTTACTTAACTAAGTAATTGTTTTTTCCCAATGGAAAGAGTTTTGTCAAATCAGACTACTCCTGTCTTCCTCTAATTAGTATCCTTTCCATACTTGTCAGAACGAGCCCTGTCAGTCACTACTGACATTTTGGGCTCAGAGCTTATTGGTCAAGGGAGTGTAGTCCTCTTTTTTTGATTTTCTGTCTGAAAATTATTATCTAAAGATGTGACAGATGCCATAAATACATGCATGTGAAAACCAAACTCAGGGCACAACGGTTGTCCGCTTGCCCGGGAAACTAAAGACTTGGGACGGACAAGTGCACTGTCTTAGCAAGTTGCCCGGTCGGGCAATTGATGTATTACTTAAACTGTATTGTGGAAGCTGGATTTTATACAGAGCTACATTTCTTTATTTTTATCAATAGAATAATTTTATAGCGCAACCTTTCTCTTTGAACATTTCTTCAACCCAGTACGCAAAATTAGCATGAAAAGGTGTGCGTGTGTGCGTGCATGTGCGTATGGCATTCGAAAAGTGTTTTCCTACACTGTGTCCAGAATGAAACTTGTGACCACAATCAATCATTGCATGAACTTTTGTTGTTTGGATAAAGTTAGCTTGTGACATCCCTGTTGTTTTTATCTTTATTTATAATTACACATGCGCGCACACACACACACACACAGAAACACACAGAAACACACCACAGCTGTCCCATCTCTCGCTACGTATCCGATCACAGAGGCTCGAGAATCCACGGCACGACACCAATTCACCAAAAATAACTTTCCACTCATCTGAAGTCCAAGTCCAAGTCCAGTCCCGGTCTGTGTCTGAACCAGCTCCTGATGCATGAAGAGGGACGGTACAGCGCAAAACCAGGGCTAAGGTCTCTGGGGCAGACCATTGCTCATTGTGACTCAACTTTCACCACAATTTATTAGAATCAAAACATTTAGGCAGAAACTTATTTTAATCTACTTAATAATTTTCATGTTTTTTTTTTGTTTTGTTTTTTTATAATACACAGACTCACACAATAAAAAAAATAAAAAAATATCATCATTAACAATTTTGTGTAAGCTCTCAGTCGTACAGGGATTAGTCGAGGCAAAGGAAGGTTACTCACCCATTTTCAAGGGAATGGAAAAGTTGAAAAAGTTCCCTTGAAAAAGTTATTTGGATTAAGGATGAAACGTTGGGAAAACCTGCTAAGAAGTACAGTTCATGGGTGAGAAACCTTCCTTTGCATTATTAATAATTATTACAATCATATAACTGAAACTGATTTAAAGCTGCGACAGAGGCCAAAAAAGCACGTACAAAACTATGTTGAGAGACACTGGCAATAATCCCCAGCCCTTTTTTTCCCTCTGGGTTTTTGAGTTGTTTTTTGTTGATGATCCAGAACATTTCAGATTTTCATTTTTACATTAATGGATTTTGGTCATCCGCTCCTTATGCACCAGGTTCTGTGTTTTTTCTCATTGCATTTCCTGTGTTTGAACTGTTTGATTCTCTGATCTGTTTGCGGATGAATTAAATTGTTATGCATTGTTGAGCGGTTATGCATTTATTGATGATTCAACAGCATGACACAGGCATTTTGGCACATACTGTAATTTGCTATTATGTCTGCACATTGAAGTGATGATGATTATAGTGAGGTACTACGTCAAAGGACACAAATCATCATGAGAATTTTAAATGTTTCATTCAATTTCAACTTGTTTCTCTTAATAAATCTTCTTAGCTCGAGATTTCAAACATTCTAAATATATACTGAAGATCCTCTGGTGTCTTGGGTAACAACGACATACAGCAGACACGAGCTAAACTATTCATTCCTTTTGTTTATTAATTGTTGAAACCCTATAAATAAATGTAAAATAAATAATGGTGACATAAAACCAGAGAGATAAAGGATTGAGTGGTCATGTGGAGATATGATTACAGGCCGTGGCGCCGCTCGTCCGTTTGTTTGTGGACAGGGACCAAAATAAAAATAGTTTTGCATTGAACAGTTGCTGCGGACATGATTGTGAGTGAATATTAAATCTGGTGAAAGAGCAAACACGTTTCAAGGAGATTGAAGGACCACTCATTCTCCCTCTACAATATTTACATTTATTTAATCACCTTAGCAAAACTTAACATGGCTCTCAATTAGAAGTGTGACGATATATCAATTTTTCAATATATCGCAATACTTTCTCCCGCGATCGATTATCGATATGCATTTGCCAAGTATCAATAAAAAAATATATAGTATATTGCTGACCAATATATCAATAATCGTCAAATCGTGAGCTTTGTATCGCGTATCGTATCGTATCGTGAGGTGCCCTTAGGTTCCCACCCCTACTATCAATAGTGTTCCTCATCAGAAACTGAACTTTTGCAATGCATTACAAAGACTTATTATGAAAAAATCATCAAATTGGTTCATTACAAGTGTATGTTTACAATCACATGTTCTTATAATGGACTGTGAAATATGGGACCTTTAAAGTGTAACATACAGAAAAATAATAAATAAAAAAGTAATATCATAACACTCGTATTGCTTAGTTTAAGAAATAAAGAAATGTTGTTGCTGTATATAGGGTATATTTAAAGAAAACTAAATACCACATTTATCGCTCTTTTGAATACAACTTCTACATCCTCCGTCTATTTGCTGTGCATGGAATGTTTGGAGTCAGTTCACGAGGATGCAAATACAAAAAAGAATACAATTAGCAGTTTTAAAGTTGTTTGAGCTACTTATTAGAATCAAAGCAAAGCAAAGTCCGAAAGAAAATACAATCCATAAAGTTATTTTCATTTGTATCAATAGTCTTATCAACCAGAGCTGAGTGTGGATTGTGACTCAATCTAGATGTTTATTTCAGACACACAAAAAACATGACATGACAGACACACAAACACACACATACACACATACAGACCCAAACCCTCTCCGACCCAACACCCTTCCCCCACAACGATCTTGTAATAATCATTGCGCTGTTATAACACATTCTAACCAGATAAAAGTAAGACAAAAAATAGAAATTTAAGTCGTCTGTGTGGATATTATTGACGTGAAAAGAGAATTCACGATGTAAAACTACATTTCCTCCATCTTTGTAAACGCTAACAGCCGCCAAACGCCTCTGAACACATGCACAAAGCAAACGTTCACATTTCTACTTCTCTTTATTCATTTCAAATCAGCCGTTACAAATCTGGCTGAGTAAACTGTGCCCCGGGACCTGGCTCCGATCTGCCCACACATGTAGGTCAGAATGCATGGATCACTGAATACTACTACTACAAATACTACTACTGCCACAACTGCCACTACTACTACTGCTGCTGTTGTTGCTGCTGCCACCTCACTGACACACTTTTATTGAGCGGATGGAGGATGGGGAGAGCTTACCTTGGGCTGACATGACTTGTGCACCGCCACTTTACAATCTGAAAGGGAAAAAAATATGCAGTTTATTTGGTAAAAGAGAGAATGTACGATTTGCATTTCAGATTTCATCAACGTAACCTCATTGTGTCCCCATACATCAGCGGGCTCCAACCTACAGCTCTGCAGCAACCATTCGCTCAAAGGATTTAGAATGGACAAAATATGCAGAATATTTTAATAATATTTATTCATGATTTATAGGCGGACTTAATATCAATTACAAAAACATTGAAGACCAAATTGTAAACAGGAAATGGCGATTGTGAGTTGATGGGTATAGTAGTACATATATTAATTAATCCAAGGTCCCCTTCTTGATTTTGTCCCAATATGAATCTCTTTATATAATAGTAAAGCTGATGTACCCAACTTTGAAACCAATAGAAATACGCAATATGTATTTTGGCCTCCGTCATAGTAATAGTAGTTAGTTACAGTAGTAGTAGCAGTCCTGGTGGCAATAGTAACAGCAGCAGTAGTAGTAGTAGTAGCAGCAGTATTTGTTGCAGTAGTAGCAATAAAAATAGTACTAATAGTAGTAGTAGTAGTTCTCACCTGTGCAGATATTCCCATTCTTTGAGATGTTCTTTCTGCAGACATCACAAACTTGTCTTCTGAAACTTTTCTCAGTGAAGCTGTGTTTCCCTGACGACACAAACTAGAGAGAGACAAAAATGGAACAAAAATAATGACTAATATGAAGCAGGGATGAACTGATCCTGCGTTTTCATATGTACAGATGTTTTATACTTTGACTTAAACCTTTGCTGATATAAACCAATACCAGTGAAAGGACTGATGATAAAATGTTCAAATGATTGTGTTCATGTGTCACAACACCCCAAATAGCCAAAAGTTTAACTATATTTTAGGTAGAGGGCAGATGAAAAATCTTTTTGGTAACTATGGTAACTGTCAAAAGTCCTCTAATCTTTGTTTTACAGCTAATTTCATAATTTTTGTCAGTACATGTCAACTCGGGTCTCAATACGTTTAGACATACGTAATATGGCGGCTTTGTGAATCTAGTCACTATATCAATGTAGTCTGTAGAATAAATATGTTTTAAAATCTGTATTTCTATGAATAAATGTTGGTGTTTCTTGTACATGTATGACAGCAGCAAAACAAAACAAAAGATCTAAGAAAACATTTGGACAACTTTCTTTTTCGTCAATTGTTTTTAAAATAGCTTCTTTCCCATAGAGCTGCATTGGCACCTGAATGCAACAGCTGCATCTCCTTACAGTTTTATGTAATTGTAGAGCTTCTTCATGTTCCACCAACTATATCCAAATAAGAAAATAGTCCTCATTTTAAACTTAAGAGCTCAAACGTCTCTTACATAACACATGAGTCACTTGTTTAACTTTTCCGACCGCGCCTGAACACCTCGCAGTCAATGACCCCTCTGTGCGCCCGGAAAAAGCATCCCTCGGAAACATGAGCAAAAGTGGAAAGTCACAGAGTGGCACAGAGGAGAGAGGGTGGAGTTTGTTTGTGAAAATACTTTTAAAATAAATAGTCTCTGTTCTAAAACATATGTTAATCTGTGACACCGAAGCAGTTTGGGGTCAAAGTGAAAGTGTGAGTAAAAGTTATGGTGAAGTGTAAAAGCAGTGCACATGTGTCAAAACCATAGACTGTAAATATTAAAGATGCTGTATCCACATTGGGTTGTTTAGTAGCAGCTTTAAGTGTTTTCTTGTCTGTAAGCGTAATAAGCGTGTGTGTATTGTTTGTATATCTTGTGCATGGTTGAAATACATTTGAAAAAAAAAAAAGAATAGTAATAGTAGTAGTAGCAGCTGCAGTTATTGATTCTATTTTTTGGAAACATCAGTTTTAATTAAAAAAATATCTCTCACATAGATAGTAGTAGTCGACATAATGGTAGCAGTAGTATCAGTAGTAGTAATAAATACATGTTCTAAATACATGGACCTACATTGCTTTTAGTGTAAACTCATCATTGTGTCTGTGTGCTGCTGCCTCAGGACACACCTTCTGTTATTGAACAAAACCTCCAGAAACTGCTCACAATTAAAGAACAATTTAGGAACTATTTTGTAATTAGTCAAAAGGAAATGACTCTGTCTGTAAACCGTCTACAGCTCTCCTTATGTAAAACCTGTATCATAGCTCCAGTTTTGAAGGCAGCTGAACAATGAGGCAATGACACCAACCAGTGGTCAAACGATGGTACTGCAGCTCAGCCACGAGCGGTGCTGACTAAAGTTGGGGTACCTGACTTTCAAACCACAAAATACTGTACAAAAACAAAGACACAAAAAATATTAAACATTCAAAACCTAAAATGTTAGACCCTTATTACACTATTACACCCCTATGACATCTGGCACAAGATAAAAGATGGATAAATGAATAGCAGAACAAAAAGTGACAGCATAGGTTTATGTAGGAAAAGTTAGGTACTCCAGTAAGTTCGGTACTACAAATGCTCAAAGTCTTGTACACTCCGAGGGATAAAACGTCACAAAAAATCACAGATATAATAGAAGAAAAAGACAAATAAAGACAGACACTAAAAAACTAAAACTATGAATCAGCTCTGAGTCCAGAGCCTAGGTCCACAGTCTGGGTCCTGAGTCCAGAGCCTTGGTCCTCAGTCTGGGTCCTGAGTCCAGAGCCTGAGTCCACAGTCTGGGTCCTGAGTCCAAAGCCTGAGTCCACAGTCTGGGTCCAGAGTTCAGAGCCTGGGTCCAGAGTTCAGAGCCTGGGTCCAGAGTTCAGAGCCTGGGTCCAGAGTTCAGAGCCTGGGTCCAGAGTCCATAGGCTGGGTCCACAGTCTGGGTCCTGAGTCCAGAGCCTGAGTCCACAGTCTGGGTGCTGAGTTCAGAGCCTGGGTCCAGAGTTCAGAGCCTGGGTCCAGAGTTCAGAGCCTGGGTCCAGAGTTCAGAGCCTGGGTCCAGAGTTCAGAGCCTGGGTCCAGAGTCCAGAGCCTGGGTCCAGAGTCCAAAGCCTGGGTCCAGAGTTCAGACCTGGGTCCTGCCACAGAAAAGGCTTTGTTTCCTGTTTTTTTGTTTGGACCTGGGCACTTCCAAAAGCAGCTGGGAGGAAGACCGCATGGTTCTAACCGGGACATGTTGGGACAAAAATCTGACAAATACAAAGGAGCAAAACCATTAAGAGACTTAAAAACCATGAAAACCTTTTAAACTGGATTCTGTGAGCCACAGGAAGCCACTGCAATTTTGCATATCTTTAAATATGAACATCACTGTAATAATAACAATAATCTATTCTTATACTAAGAATGCTGATATAGGAATACCCCCTGTATTATGGGGGTGGAAGTCAGAGAAGAAAAGTGAGCATTGATTCACATGAATCTTTGTCCAAAAATCCAAATCGAAAGGCTACTCCACCCGAGCGTTTTCAGCCAGAGTTGGTGTCATTGTGCAAAAATTCACACACATCCCCAAGAGCGTTTCCATTTGGGACGAAACATAAGAATAAAGGTCAAAAGCTGAGCAGAAGGAATGAGAGAGTGAGGGGAGGGGAGAGAAGACTTTACACACATGACTTTTACTCAAAATACAGATGGCAGCAACATGTGTTGTCTTTGTTTGGTCGTCCAGAACCCACTGCAAATATTTCCAATAGTTTTACATTAGTCAAGTGTTCGAGAAAAAGACAAAAAACTGAAAAACATACAGTAATTATACCATGTCCAGTGAGAATTTCAAATACTTAAACCTCATGTTAGTTCTTCTGTTGGAGCTTGGAGTGGGCCGACCGCGCCAGCAGCTTCAGCTAATGCCACTTTTGAACCCAGAATCAGGTCGTAATATATTCAGTCTATGGTCGTAACACGTGTGTAGCTTTCTTATTGTTAGCCATTTTCAACAATATTAGCTGCGTCCGTTCTGTTTGGCGCATGGCTAATTTGACCGCGGTAAAGTGGGCCGCATCTTTCACCTCCGAAGTAAAACGGCCCGCATCGAGAGAAAAGCAGTGCGCGTTTTGTTGACTGCTTACGGTAATAGCAGAACAGCCTTTCGCAGTCAGCTTTTCTCCTCGAACAGAAAGCGCGCTTAGGAGACTCGTTTTGTGAATAAACCCTTATTTGGAAAAGCATGTAAAAACTTAAAATGTTCGACATTTAATTTGGTCAAAAAGTGAAATTTTCAGCTGCTGTCCATTTTTACAGTAAAGACTTGAGTATCTTATTCCACTGGGTGTATGACCTCACCACTTTTGGTCTACTGTAACTTTTTACTGTAAAAAGGTGTGCGACTAATTTCACTGGATTCATGACCTCATGATTGCCCTCTACCACTGTACCAAAGACCAGAAACTTTTACTGTAGAAATTTTGAGAAATATGGAGTTAAAGTAGCCATTTTGGTCCAAAATAGCCTAAAAATGGTCAAAACATGTCACTTTTGATCTACTGTAACTTTTTACTGTAAAAAGGTGTGCGACTAATTTCACTGGATTCACGACCTCATGATTGCCCTCTACCACTGTAACTTTTTACTGTAAAAAGGTGTGCGACTAATTTCACTGGATTCATGACCTCATGATTGCCCTCTACCACTGTACCAAAGAACAGGAACTTTTACTGTAGAAATTTGGAGAAATATGGAGTTAAAGTAGCCATTTTGGTCCAGAATAGCCTAAAAATGGTCAAAACATGTCACTTTTGATCTACTGTAACTTATTACTGTAAAAAGGTGTGCGACTAATTTCACTGGATTCATGACCTCAACATTGCCTTCTACCACTGTACCAAAGACCAGAAACTTTTACTGTAGAAATTTGGAGAAATATGGAGTTAATATTGAGAAATATTGAGGTAAAGTAGCCATTTTGGTCCAAAATGGCTACTTATAACTCCATATTTCTCCAGATTTCTACAGTAAAAGTTCCTGTTCTTTGGTACAGTGGTAGAGGGCAATCATGAGGTCGTGAATCCAGTGAAATTAGTCGCACACCTTTTTACAATAAAAAGTTACAGTAGATCAAAAGTGACATGTTTTGACTATTTTGGGGGTATTTTGGACCAAAATGGCTACTTTAAATCAATATTTCTCAATATTTCTACAGTAAAAGTGTCTGGTCTTTGGTACAGTGGTAGAGGGCAATGTTGAGGTCATGAATCCAGTGAAATTAGTCGCACACCTTTTTACAGTAAAAAGTTACAGTAGATCAAAAGTGACATGTTTTGACTATTTTGGAGGTATTTTGGACCAAAATGGCTACTTTACCTCAATATTTCTCAATATTTCTACAGTAAAAGTTTCTGGTCTTTGGTACAGTGGCAGAGGGCAATAATAAGCTCATGAGTCAAGTGAAATTAGTCGCACACCTTATTCCAGTAAATAGTTACAATACTTGAAAATTGCACTAGCGGACCAAATTGTGTACTTTATATATGTAAACAATAGAGTGGCTATCCTCCTGAGGACTCACAATCTGCAGGAGGAATCGTAGGGGGCTGGTGCTATGTGTGCCGGGTGTCATCTCTATTGAGAATGAGGAGTTGACGTCACGGCACAGAGTCCCCCCTCCCCATCCCCCCTTTGCCGACATATTGGCTGCGCACCGGTGGCGGCAGTACAGTTTGTTTACGTGTGTTGTGAACGCGGTAGTAGCGGAGGTTCTTGCTATTCCGCACTGTTTTATCATGCCT